ATTGTCATGTTTTTAGTGCATGAATCTGAATTGAACAACCTGATAATGCTCACTCTGGTTATTGTTATCTGGTTGCTCACTACGTGCTCTTGCGCGCCGAATCCAATCAATTAAAAATGAAAACTGTTGCCAGCGCGAGAAAAGAAATATCATCGGTTTTATTGATACATACATACGTACGTATTAGCGTTTTATATAATATAGATAGATTGTTTTACTTAATCAATTGTTAATTTAATCAAACCTGAATAGAAGCGATTAAACTACTTATCTTCGGCTGTGACGGCAAAAGATAGCGTATCTCACAGAAAAGTTCAACTGTGTTTTTAAACCATATTTTTATTGAGAAAGTCTGTAAGTCGTAATAAGCTGTAAAATGGTTAGTTTTCTGAAAGAGAAAAATCTTTTATTAGTCTATTCAAAACAATTCTTTTCCTTCACATGGCAGTTTAAAGAATCGGACATGAAATGTGGTAACTCCATTCAGAGTTCTGTATTTCAATTAGCGAAGAGAGAAAATTCGTTTCTTGAGATGAAAGTTAATGAAGATTCATATCTTTATTTGAATTTGAGGAATCCATCAATGGGTATCAAAATTGGATTTTTCACTATCAATATAACAGACGAGGACTCCACCATTTACAGCAAAACAGTATCGAAGAATTATTTCAAGGATCAAAAAAGCACAATCGATTTAGTTAAAGACTTCAAGGGCAAATTTCCACCGTCTGTTAAATATCCATTAGTCATCACCTGCAGTTCTATCGACTGGAATGCTGTTGATGAGTGTGTCATACATTCAGAGAACTTATCACTCTCGAATAATTTACGAGAGCTTTCCTTGCATTTTAAAAAAGTTCTGGACGAAAACTTTTACTCGGACATCGTTCTTAATGTGGATGGAGACAAAATCAAAGCTCATAAATTGATATTGCAAGCTCGTTCCCCTGTCTTCCACAAGATGTTCACGCATGAAGTTGCGGGGAATCCGATTGCTATCTTAGACATTGGATTAGAAACAATGAAGAGGCTTCTCAATTTTATCTACTCTGGTACAACGGATGAATATGGGTTTGAAGAACTTTTGGAACTGTACTATGCTGCTGACAAATACGAAGTGATTTCTTTACGAGACAGTTGCAAAACAAAATTGCTGAACCTTCTTCAAGTGGATAATGCTTGCGTCTTATTTGCTTTAGCAAACCGGCACAGTGACGAAGCTTTCAAAAATGAGGTGGTGCAATTCATAAGTGCGAATTTTAAATCAGTATTCAAAACAGAATCTTTTGATGAACTGGGTAATGACGACATGAAATATCTCATGCGTTTGTATGTGAAAGCTATGGAATAGTGAAAAGTTTGCCGATACTTTTGATTTTAAAATTAAGTATATAATGATTAATTGGCCTAATTTTACAACATTTGGTGAAATACTGATGTGAAAGTGCTTATGCGTGGGCATGGAAAATGAATGCCTTTCGTCAATTTGATGTAAAATTTCAGAAAATAATTAGTGATTGGTATATTGAAAGTTTTTTTTATTGTTAAAATTTATAACTAAATAATTAACTTGTGTTAATTTATATTATGTCAAGCCATTTGAAAAGGATGGCTGCTTTTTTTTTTCAAAAGAGAAAACAGTGTTAGTACTAGTGCTTGATTATTCTTGTTTATTTCACAGAAACTAGATAGTTCTATCAACCATATGTAAAGAATGCATATATTTATATTTGGGCAATAGGTAGTTCTTTCTTAAAAGCGAAGTGGTAGGTAGCAGAAAGAAATATCCACTTAGTATAAACAAATGTTTACTGCCACTTTTATCATATACCACTTTTTGTATCTGGGTATAGCTGAGTTAAACAGTGTGTAATTTATTCCACACTGTTTAAGTCAGCTATATTTCTGTGTATTAAACAGCGTGTAAAGTATTTTTGTTTTCATGGAATATTTTTGCACTATTTTTACTTACTCTACAACTACTGATTGTCCTTAGTTTCAGAAAATATTTTTCTAGTGGTAATTATTGTATTGTATGAATTTTTTTATATAATTAATTGAAACTAAGTTTTTTTTGTTTAAACAGTGATATAAATAGTCATTAGCCATACTTTTAAATTCCAATAAGAAGTTTGAAAAAATTCTAATTACTTTAATTTTTTTTTTTTTTTTTTTTTTTTTTTTTTTTTTCTGCTACTGGAAAAACTATTGATCAAAAATAAATGTGTGGGAGGAAATTTTTTCATATGATATTAGGGTTTTCTATTTTTTTTAAAAAAATAATGTAATAAAATTTGAACATGTACTAACAGAAAATTAAAAGGATTCATCTCAAAACGAACTTTTTAATCAACGGATTCGTTCGTAAATTGATAATAATCATTCGGCTATCTTTACACAATGCGACTCCCCCCCCCCTTCTATTTGGAGAAGGAACAAAACTTGAAGGACCAATTGATGCAACACATTAGAGACGAAATGGCTTATTTGATTGAAACTTTTCAAACCAGTAAAACATTTCTAATCGGATTGAACACTATTTTATCTCATGATATTACGCAGGTTGAGGGTATTTTTCAAGAAAAACTAAATTTACTTAACGTTTTTTCAGATATTTCATGGGGAACAGATATCAATTCAATGTTTAAAAATGTACAGTTTTATAATATATTTCGAAAATAGACTTTGGATCAATAATTTTTCTGTCTGTTCTCAAATACGTTTTACGATATTTTGAATATCTTCATAGAAAAATTCTTGGAATTCATCAGTTTGGAGTGGAAAGATTCAAACAAAAGGAGAATTCTTTAATATTTCACATGTTTCAAAGTTGTAATATAAGCTTTAAATGTGTTTCCCCGCACGAAATATTTTAAAGTCAGAATGTTTAACAAAATTTTGTCATTAACTTTACATAGTTGTAGAATATTTCTAATATGAATTATTTTTAAAAAAATGAAATTTAATTCAAACAAAAAAAAATTTAAATAGTGGTTTTTAAATTAAAAGGACCTATCGATCATTGATTTATTAGGTTTGCGGAAAAAGTCGTTTTATTTTTATTTTATAATCGTCGTTGAACAGCCGACCCAATTTTTGGGTTAACGACTAATGTCCAACGTCTTAGACTTGTATTTTTGAACCAATCCAGAAAACAAGGGAACTCCTGGATCAAGTATTGGGAGAATTTGCCTTCGTGGAAGACTTTCTGAACACACATTTGAATTACATATAGTGGAAAACCACGAAACCCTCCATGGTTAGCTTGACGGCAAGGTGACTCTATGATAGGTCTGCCACTGAGGATATTTTACGTCAGCACGGTGGTCGGTGCTAACCAGATGCGGAATTCGTATTGACTAGTCATCGCTGGGATTCGAACCCAGTTCACCTCAATGGAAGGCCAATACTCTATCCCCTAAGCCATCACGGTTCATGGTTTATATTTTAGCCAAACACAACAAACAGTAACACACAAATTGTGCTACGGAGGACTCTTTCGCGTCATGGGCGATATCATTGTAGGAAAAAAAGGAAGAAAAAAAAAGCGGCACCCTTAACACAATCTAATCTAAATTAATGCATGTGTCTTGCTGTTAACATAAAATTTATTGAGATTTCGGTAATTATGTAATCTTTTCTAATTATCTTGGAAACGAACCTTTTTTTTTCTTGTTTCTTAAAGGCTCCGATTTTTTTAAAAAAAAATCTGCCAAAACTTGAAAAAAAAATTAAATTTGAATTACATTTTGAGATGAAATAGAAGTAATTTCGACAAAAATATTAAGATTTATATCAGCAAATTCACATTATGTTAAGGGTACATTTCCGACATAAGTTTATGTGTATAGTGCTAAAAAATAATTAAAAAAAGTAAACAAAATAAATAAATAAAGAAAAATGGAGGGCGGGAAATTTTACACGTTGATCAAATTTATCTAATTATCCTTGATCTAAGTATAGGATTTTCACGCACAAGAATTCTCAATTATTCGAGGGGGCGACTTAAAATATGCTAATTAGTTAGTGTAGACGATATTTAGCGAATTGGAAATTTTTGGCTCCAAATAATAAAATTTGTTTATCCAAAAATAATTCTATACAAAATTGTTTTTAATAATTATTAACTCAGGCCGGGACAGTCTGGTTAGTAGGGCGCTGGACTCATGTTCGTGAGAACGAGAGCACGAAGCCAGCCTACAAAGGTTTTCCCGTGCATAAAATAGTGACATATACACGTTAAATCTGTCGGGTCACAAAGTCATCCATGTACCCATAACAAATTATACCATTGGAGGTACTGAATTGGAGATTCTGATTCAGGTGAAAATTACGATCTGTGGATGAATGAACGGGCCCGTTCTATAAACGGATGTGACGTATGGGGAGGCAGAAGTCAAATTCTTAGCCATAGATGGCGCCACTGTAAAACAAGAACAATCGCACCCCTTGTCTTAATGGCATACGACGACAACAACAACAGTAATTATTTATTGGTTTTTATCATTTTTATTTAATAGTAGTTGAATAAAAATGAATTCGAAGGAGTATACATTTTATAGATAGTAATTTTATATGGAAAAATAGAAAATCTGACGAGATCGGTCGGGTAGTTCTTGAAAAATCGAATTTTAAATATCTGACTTTTGAGCAGATTGGAGACTCCTTTGAGAAGGCGTGAAACTTGAAGCAATAACCTCTCCCTCCTTAATCCTTGTTTGTTAAATGGTTTCCTGAGAAATAAATTTCTAGAGAAGAAATCTTTCCTGGAAAATGCGGAACTAATTCTTTTTATTATCAAACAAGTGGTTTTTTTCTGCTGCCCACTTTGCTTTTCTTCTTTAGTAATACTTTTACATAGAAAATTTTAACCATAATGGAAGTTAACATGAGAATATGTAATTAAAAACTAAAATAATTTTGTGTTTACGACTGCTAATGTTCAACTCCGTAGCCTTGTAATATTTAACCCAATCCAGAAAACAAGGAAATTCATACATCAAGCTTTGGGACAAACTAGTCTTCGTGGAGGACATTTTGATGAAACTAACCCGTATTTCTGTTACATGGAGTGGAAAATCACGAACCCCTCCCATGGTCAATCCAACGGCAAGGGGATTCTAACTTATGATCCGTCTACCACTGAGGATATATCTGTCAACATTGTGGTCAGTGCGAGTCGTTAGCTGAATTCGTATCGACCTATCAACACTGGGATTCGAGCTTGCATTAACTCATTGGAAGGGCAGAGGTTAATCCCCTGAGCTAACAATTTTTTTTCTAGAAGGAAAGGGTAGAAATTAATAATTTTGAGAGCATTAAATTTAAGTCTTGCTTGCTCCTCCCCGATATATGGAACTTTGGGTGATCGACCGCCTTGCCCACCCCTTCCGCCGGCCCTGTACACAAAATACGTATTTGTTAATTGGTACAGATTACTAAACAAAAACAAACGAACTAGTGGCTGTTTGCTCCAACTGCAGAGAACCATTAATTATAGCGCATTAGTAATATTATATCATTCGGAAAAAATATTCGAATTTTATATTTATAAAAAAAAGAACAGTAAATATTAAAAACCATAGGAATGATATTTTTCGTGATCAATGATTCCCTGCCTATGTTGACTTTTTCCCCTCACAAAATACCAAAGTGGGATAAATTAATGTAAATTAATCTATAAAAAAAAAAGTTGCATATGAATATATAAAACAAAGTATTTATGAGCATCTTTGCATTTTTTTGAACTTAGATTTAAGAAAAAAAGAAGATTAAAAAAAATATATATCATTTTAAATATTTTTTTTCTTCCTGTTGTTAAAATTAGTTTCGTTTAGTTAAAAAAATCATAACAAGAAAATCTGTTTTTTAAAAATCATAATAAGAAAATCTGCTATTTAAAAACCATAATAAGAAAAATCAGCTTACAAATTATTAGAAATGCTCTAAAAAATCATGTTCTTTCCTGTATTCTGTTCATAATTTTAGTAAGATTCTTGGTTTTTAAAAAAAAAAAAATCGCATTTTATTTTCTTTAACTCCAATACTGGCTACTTTCTCTCCTTTTTTTGCTACTTCATCCCCCAACCGACTTAAAGAATAACCCCGTTTCCATGACAACGGCTCTAATCCGGTCTGTAAACGGCTGTAGTCTATTTGAAACTCCAAGAGAATGTAGGAAAAGACATTAAGATTTATTCGTCGTGAATCATGAAAAATACTGTTTTTACATTTTTCAATTACATCAGAAATATAAAATAACCCTTTGAATTTACCTTTAGGATCACCATTAAATGCCAGTTAATTGTCCCGCGTTTAGTAAAATCCTTGCGTACTTTAATTCTTAAGTAAAATATGGTCTGAAATATTCAGAGATGTTATGACTATATGCACGCTATATTACATAGTTACATGAGTGAAAGAAAATTCAAAATGGTATCGAGGCTATAATTGTTATTTACTGTTAGGGGATTCGCAGAAAGAAGATTGAAAGCTCCAAAACAATTTATACAAAATTATTATTAGTTAGACTATTAATATTTATAATATAAGTCTTTTTCTAGAGCAGAGTAAATGTTTTAAAGCATTCCTAATATGAAGGAATAAAAAACAGCGGCATACATTATTTTAAATTTTATTTGATATTACCGATATTTGGAATGATGACGAAATATGAATGGTGTAAAAATAATAAAGTAAATAAGAGGAGTAACAAGGAATCACGCTACCTCCGTTTTATACACAAAAAATAGAGAAAAAGTAATAAGTATAAATGCGTAATCAACTTTTGGCGCACCCTTTAAATATTGAGTTTTGCCAAAAATTGTAACCCGGAAATTCATGGTCCCTCAGTTTAGCTCCCTCCCCTTATATGGTGGAATGAAGTATAACCAGTTTTGAGAGCGTCGATATCAGTCTTGTGAAAGTTTTTAAAAGGGGCTCAGTAATCAGGTATGTAATCGAGCGACTGTAGAAACGACTAAACTACTTATCTTAAGTTGATGTCAATAGATAGTTTATCTCTCAGTTCGACGGTGTATTTAAAGCATATTTTATTGAGAAAGTCTATGAGTCGAAATAAACTGTAAAATGGCTAGTTTTATGCTGGAGAAAAATCTTTTATTATCCTATTCAAAAGAATTCTTTTTTTTCACATGGCAATTTAAAGAATCAGACATTAAACCTGGCAACTGCATTTGTAGTTCTAAATTTCAATTAGCAGAGGGCAATAATTCGTTTCTTGAGATGAAAATTAATGAAAACTTAATGCTTTTCTTGAATTTAAGGAATCCATCTATCGGTATCAAAACTGGATTGTTCTCTATCACTGTAACAGACGAGGCCACTACAATTTACAGCAAAACAGTATCGAAGAATTATTTTGAAGATGATGAGGACGAAATCGATTTTCTTATGGACTTCCAGTACGAATTACCATCTTCTGTTAAATATCCATTGGTTATCACCTGTAGTTCTATCGACTGGAATGCTGTTGATGAGTGTGTCATACATAAAGAGAACTTATCACATTTTAATAATTTGCGAGAGCTTTCCTTGCATTTAAAACAAGTTCTGGATGAAAACGTTTACTCGGACATCGTTCTTAATGTGGATGGAGACAAAATCAAAGCTCACAAATTGATAGTGCAAGCTCGTTCCCCTGTCTTCCACAAGATGTTCACTCATGAAACTGCTGGGAATCTGATTGCTATCTCAGACATTGGATCAGAAACAATGAAAAGGCTTCTCAATTTTATCTACTCTGGTACAACGGATGAATATGGCTTTGAAGAACTTTTGGAACTGTACTATGCTGCTGACAAATACGAAGTGATTTCTTTACGAGATTGTTGCAAAGCAAAATTGCTGAACCTTCTTCAAGTGGACAATGCGTGTGTCTTATTTGTCTTCGCAAACCGACACAGCGACGAAGCTTTCAAAAATGAAGTGGCGCAATTTATCTGCGCGAATTTTAAATCAGTGGTCAAAACAGAATCTTTTGATGAACTGAGTAAAGACGACATGAAATTTCTTACGCGTTTGTATGTGAATGCTACAGAAGAGTGAATAGTTTGCCGATACTTTTGATTTTAAAATTAAGTATTTAATGATTAATTGACCTAATTTTACAATATTGGGTGAAATATTCATGTGGAACTGCTTACGTGTGGCATGGAAAAGTGGAAGCATTTTGCCAATTTGACGTAAAATTTCAGATAATAATTAGTGATTGTCATATTGAACATTTTTTGTTTTAGTTTTAAAATTTATAACTAAATATACAGTTTATGTTAATTTATATTATGTTAACTCATTTGAAAAGGACGGTCACCTTTTTTCGAATAAAGAAACCGTGGCAGTACTAGTGTTTGCTTATTCGGATTTATTTTACGGAAACTAGATGGTTCTTTCTACCATATGTTAATAATCTAAATATTTAGATTTGCTTATTATGTAGTTCTTTTTTAAAAACGAAGTAGTAGGTAACAAAAAGAAAGATACATTTAGTATAAACAAATGTTTACTACCACCTTTAACATAAACCACTTTTTGTGGCAAGGTATAGCTGATTTAAACAGTGGAACTTAATTCCTGTGTACTTTTGCTTTTATGGGAATTTTTTTGCATTCTATTCACATACCTTACAACTACTGAATTTTTTTAGTTTCGGAAAATAATTTTATAGTGATAATTAAGGTGTATTAATTCTTTAATAAATTGAAATTAAAATTTTTTGTCTAACCCTGCATATATATAAATTATTTAAACAGTTATATAAATAATCATTTATACAAATGACCAACTTTTACCCTTTTGAAGGGCGTGGTAAGTATCTTACCACCACGTTTTACCACTTTTAATTTTGGTTTCAATTTTTCAATAACTTCCGCTTTCTTGAAGTGAGTTTGAATAAAATTGGTAACCATTTGTCACTTTTAAAAAACGTATAAAATTATGAAATACATAATTCCTTTTGAAGTTTGTAGCATTTAAGGAATTTATTTTATAAATAAAGAAAAATAAAAGTCAGTAAGTTCCTAATAGGTCATGTTAAATATATTTACCACCAAAAAAATGGCATTTTTATAAACTAAATGCGTTGTTTCTTTTTTATATCAATTACTGTTCTTAAAACAATTTCAATTCCAAAAATACTTTAATTTACCTTTACTAGAAATAAAGGGCCCGTTAAAGGGTTAAGTTCCAATAAAAAGTTTGTGAAATTTCTAGTTGCATAAAAAATTTATATTTTTGTGCTCTATCACTGGAAAAAATACTTCCCAAAAATTAATGTTGAAGCGTATTTTTTCATATGTGTATTAGTTTTTATTTTAGTTAATCTAATAATATATGGGTATGTACCAGCAACATTTCAGTGTACTTTCAAAATTTAAATGCTTCACCTCAAAACAAACTTTTTTTTTAAGAATGGATTCTTTCTGAAATTGATCATGTTTTACTTTTGGAAAAGCTTATCTAAAGAATCATTTGGCGTCTGTTTTTTTCTCTCTCCCCTATTTGGAGAAGGAATACAATTTGAAGGACCAACTGATGCATTCATTAGTCACAAAGTGATTTATTTCTTTTAAACTGGTACAACATTTCAAATCAGATTGAATATTATTTTATCCTACGATTTTATTCAGGTAGAGGGTATAAAGTGTCATATGCATGACACATTTTTTGTTTATCAAAGTCAATGTTTTAATATCAACGAACTGTTGTTACTTTTATTAACCACATTTAACGATGAGTTACTGATCGACGATTTTCGCTGGACTCCCAGTTCCACGCACATGAGAACCACCGAAATCCAATCAATACAGTACTAAAATGGAGAAAACTTAGTGGATTCATTTTTCCTGAAGCTAAAACTTCATGCAGAACCCTTTTTTTTTCGAAAAAGAAACCACGACTCAACTGCTCCAGAAATATTTCTGAATAATTTCCTTGTCCCAGAGTTCTGTAACTGAAATAAAATTCCTCAGACTCGTCTTAGACTCTAACATGAAAATTATTTATGGAAATCTTGTAGCAAAAAATTAAATTTACTTAAAACTTCTTTCAAATACTTCCTAGGGAACAGATATCAGTTCAGTTTTTAAAATGAACAGCTTTATAATACATTCTACAATAGATTTTTAAGCAATAATTTATCTGTGTGTTCTCAAATCCGTTTTACGTTATTTTAAATATCTTCATAGCAAAGGTTTTCGATTTGCAACTGGCACATTTCGAACTTCACTAATCAAAAATCCGTAGGCTTTACACGAAGAACCACCTCTCTAAAGTAGGTAAAATTAATTATCACTTTGTAACTATATTTTCATATAAAATATCATTTCCATTACCTATATTAAATTGAAAGATTTTATCAACTGGCCGTTGAACATTTCTCAACCATAAAAAAACCTCTATTACAGCATTTAGATGGAGCAGAATTTTAACAAGTTAAAAAATCTAAAACCTTATCACGTCATCAACCCTACTCCCACCTTGGCTCGCTGTACTATTTCATAATATTGACATCTTCGTAAGTCTAACAAAAAGCTAGTGAAGGATTTGCCCGGCTAGTAGGACATTGGGCAAATGTCCGAGAGGTCGTGAGTTCGATCATCGCCGGTAGAAGACTTTCCGTGTACAAAATAGAGACTGGTCCTCTAAGTTTTGATTCAGTTTTCAAAATTTAAAACTTAAGATGCGTTGTTACTTTAACTGAGATTCTCCTCCGTTATTTGCTTTAATTTACACACCGAAATCTTGTCTACTATATTGAGCACACTGGATAACACTTCCTTGATAAAAAGTATATTATGATATTTCCTAGGAGCTGGGCACGTTTTTTATATTTAATAAATTGTTTTATTTTCATACAATAATTTAATCGTTTTTTTATCGGGTCATGATAGCCTGGTAGGTAGAGCGTTGAGCAAGTTCTCCCATAAACCAATCAATAACTCTGGAGAAACTGAATCGTAGATTGATTGTACTCTGGCTCTGATCGAAATTAAGATCTGAGGACGGATGTAGTGTGAATGCGACCTCACTTTAAAACGGTTTGTGACGTATGTGTGTGACAGAAGTCGAATTCTTGGCCATAGATGGCGCTACTGGAAAATAAGAAGAAACGTACCCCTCTACCTGAAAATAGGCGACAACGTAAGACAACAACGTCTTTTTTTATTACAACAGCATTTTACTTGTATTCTGTTATTCTATTTATCTATAACATTCCTCTTATTGCTTTTATAAGTCCCCCAGGAAAAGTTTTATATTTTCGTTAAAAATCCTCAGAAAGCAGTAATTTTAACTTCAAATATTTTCATTGCAATTTATAATTACTCTACTTATCATTCTAAGTACTATTAAATTTTACTGAAATTGAAAACAATACTTAAAAGTTCTTGGGTGTTAAAAAACAATGTATCTGAATATTTAATGTCCCAAACGCTTTTTATTAACTAATTTAATGCTAAAAATTAATCCTTCGATTTTTTTTCTTGGTTATCATTCGTAATCAGAATTTATAATCGATATTTAAAGGTATTTCTTTTTACATCCATTAAGTAAAAGGGGGTGGGATTGCTATTTATATGACTAAAACTGGTACATACCTTGTACATTGTAAATCAAGAAAAACTTGATTCCTTAAAAGCTACAACACGTATGATTTTTTTAAATATGTAATTAATGTTAAAGGAAAAGATAAATACTGAGTTTTAATGAGCTTTTAATTTCATCTCAATTGACTTCTGTTTCCACATCTTTACCTAAATCATGAAAGCAGGAAAAGTTTTTACCTCTTGTTTTATCACAAAATTTTAAATACCAGACAGATATCTTCCTGCATAAATTTAACTTTCATTGTTTTATAGTCGCTACAGCTAAGTGAAAAGTAATTCTTTTTCCATTGTTTTAAAATTTATTTCATTTTTTTTTAAAAACTAAACTTGTAGCATTTTTTGTTAGTTTTAACTAAATGTGCAAATGTTTGTTTTCGTTTAAAAAAAAATGCTAAAAAAAAATTTTTTAAAAAAATTTAGAAAAACAAGTAAAAAATTTTGTTGGTACTTCTTTTTTTTTATAAAGTTATGATTTCTTATAAATTTTTTTTAATTTCTAAAATTGCGTCCTAATTTAAAAAGTGTAACAATTTATTAATTTTTATAACTTCTATAATTGTTTTGTAGTTGATTACAAACTGTTAAAGTTGTGGTAAGTTATCTAATGTTTTGCTATTTTGTTATCGTGTGCTTTAATTTTTTATATTGGATTATAAAGAATTCTCTTAGATTTATTTAAAAATTTAATATATTTTTTAAATCATTTTTCGGTGTTGCAAAAGCAATTGAAATTTTGCATCGAAAAGATGTTTTTAAGAAAATTTATGCAATTGTAAATGTTGTTTTTAATATGAGTATTTAAATTTAACATTGTATTCAAATACAGTACTAGAATTAAGTAATTTGTAAATGTACGATTTTTAAACTACCTTAAACAGAACAAACTTTTAAAATGTTCCGCTTTAAAATTTTATCTATGAGAGTTTTGCTCAATGCTTGCTGTCGCTCGTCAACTTCCGAAGCTACTGCCCAGGGCTCGAAAAACAGCCCGTCCGCCCGTCCTCGGCGGTCAAAAATATCCCGCGGGCAACAAATTTCTAGAATCCGACGTCCGTGCGGACTGCCATTTTCCCGTTAATGTTGGTGATACATTTTCAATTTTTGTTATCTTACAAGAGTCTAGCACCTCACTTCTAAAATGACCCTCTGATAGAAATACAGCAACACACTGATCATGGTGGAATTGATGTTTTCTCGGTCTGGGAGTACTGCAGTGGTTGAAAGAGGCTTTTTAGCAATGAACTTACAAAAAAACACATTACGTACTGGTCTTAAACAAGAAGCGTTTAACGCAATTATGAACATCTACCTAAATGGAAAACCCCTTTCAGATTTCTATGCAGAAACCTCTGCAAATCATTGGCTTGATTGTGGAACTGCCAAACGTCATATTTGATTCATTTAAAAAACGCAGTACCATCGGATAAATTGACATATAACTTGACCTTTGTCATTTAAATTATTTCATAAAAGAAATACTAGGTTACTATTAGTAACCTAGTATATACTATACAATGTAATGCGTATTACTGTATAATGTAATCCTAGTATTTGTAATCCTAGTAACTACTAATTCATTGTGCAATTTATATAAATGTTTGTAGTAAATAAGAGAAAATTATATTTTTATTTATTTAGAAGCGACGGGTTAGTTTCAAAGGAGGACGGGTACATTGTTGGACAAGCCGTCCTCGGGGACGGGTAAAATTTCTGCGTTTTTTCGAGCCCTGCTGCTGCCGTATTTCCTTTCAAATCGCTTTGCACATTCTTTTTTCTTTCATCTCGTTTAATATCCCAGTTTTAATAACTTAATATCTTTTATAGTTGATATCAATTGCGTTAAGAACTATGTTCGTTATCAAAGTGGATTGTTATTCGTTCTATAAAGATCACTACTTTACAACTTAATAACTCAAACTAGTTGCTTTTTTTCCAATATGATTATTTATATTTGGCATTGTATTCAAATAAAGTAATAGAATTAAATCGTTTGTAAATGTACTATTTTTAAACTAACTTAAACAGAGCATACTTTTAAAATGCTCCGTTTTAAACTTTTATCTATGAGTGTTTTGTTCCATGCTTGCTGTCGCCCGCCAAACTCCGAAACTGCTGACGTATCTCCTTACAGATCGCTTTGCACACTCTTTTCACTTTTGTCCAGTTTAATCGAGTCGAGCACTTTACGGTAGAACAGTTTAACGAGGACCCACGGTCCCTACGCAGGCTGATCAAAGTGGACAACCACCCGCTTACTGACCGCAGCCAGTGATGCTTGGCATCGGTGTTCTACTGCTAACCGCATACCTGCCAACTTTTAATCCCTTCCATTATCATTTTTCCCAGTGGTATTAAAATGAAATTAAAACTTCAATTTTAAGCAAACAAATACGTTGCATTTGAAAAATCCATGATAGTAACGCATACTAATATATGTGCTTAATTTTTGTAAGAATAGTGGTGATCAAAATCTTTTAAAAATTAAGTTCATAAAAGAAAAAATAGTATATATTTACTACCCACTTTAAATATGAAAATAAAATCTTCCGGATAATCCGGAAGAGTTGGCAGGTATGTAACCGTGTCTGTACGATCAGTCCACTGTGGGACAGTAATACTAGGAAAGTTAGTAAGTTGAAATTTCTAGTACTGATTCAATTTTTAGAACTGCATCGAACTATAAAGGATTTTGATGTTTTTCTTTTTATTTATATTCGATTGCATGCGTTATTATGTTGCTGCTTATTTATTGTCAACTTCAAACTGATGTTGTATTTTATATTAACAGGTTCAGTTTGAAAGTAAAAAAACATCCTTTCTTAAATACAGTAATGTCATGACTTTCATTTCAAAATATATAAAAAATACTCGGAACACGTAGCTGAAAAAGGCTTCAAAAATGAATTGCCTAGTAACGATGACAAGTTTTTTATATTGTAGGAATACTTACGCTGTACGTCGCATTTTAATCCAATTATGGATGGTGTTTTCAATACAGGTGTAAACAAATTCAAATCTGGAGCTCTTTAACGTCACAGCTTCCGGTCAGAAAGTTTACAGCTTATTGTGCGTGGGGATATTTCAGGGCTCAAAAAAACTCAGAAATTTTACCCGTCCCCGAGGACGGCTTGCCCAACAATGTACCCGTCCTCCTTTGAAACTAACCCGTCGCTTCTAAATAAATAAAAATATAATTTTCTCTTATTTATTACTAATATTTATATAAATTGCACAATGAATTAGTAGTTACTAGAATTACATTATACAATAATGAAAGAAATACTAGGTTACTAATAGTAAAACCTAGTATTTCTTTTATGAAATAATTTATTTCTTTAATGAAATAATATAAATAACAAAGGTCAAGTTATATGTCAATTTATCCGATGGTACTGCGTTTTTTAAATGAATCAAATATGACGTTTGCCAGTTCTACAATCAAGCCAATAATTTACAGAGGTTTCTGCACAGAAATCTGAAAGAGGTTTTCCATTTAGGTAGATGTTCATAATTGCGATTAACGCTTCTTGTTTATGTACGTAATGTGTTTTTTTGCAAGTTCATTGCTGAAAAGCCCCTTTCAACCGCTGCGTTACTCCCAGACAGAGAAAACAACAATTCCACCATGAACAGTATGTTGCCGTATTTCGAGATTAGAGGGTCATTTTAGAAGTGAGGTTCTAGGCTCATGTAAGATAACAAAAATTGAAAATGGATCACGAACATTAATGGGGAAAAAGGGCCGTCCGCGCGGACGCTGGATTCGAGAAACTTGTTGTCCGCGGGGAATCTTTGACCGCCGAGGACGGGCGGACGGGCTGTTTTTCGAGCCCTGGGATATTTTGATGATATAATTTAATAATATAACATTATAATACTATTAAATAATTCTGGTAAGTTTTAAGTGAATCTTTTTTGTTGTTATTTACAGATATATTGTTAAAAAAAACGTGACACTGTTGCTATTTTTAGAAAGAACTCGCTTTTTCGGCAATCCTGATTTGGCTTCTTTTGACTTGTTTATTGCTATTTGTAATTGTTGCTAGCAGTAGAACGTGCGTACGTTAATTTTATCATTTAATTAAAGTAGCGAGGACAAATTTATTTTGCAAATTATCACTTAGAACATTGAACACTTTTTATGCAGTGAGCATGTTGAGCCAAACGCCAAATGGCTTCAAAATATACCGGATACATTTACCCGGAAACATTTGCGGTAAAGAGACTGCAGCTCTCCTTTGTGTAGAAAATAAGAACCCATATACATTTATTTTTATACATATAAAATGTATTATATATATCTAAGTATTTTCCTATTCCATTTATGACCGTTACATATAAAGTTTTTTTTCTCCATTTAATACTTGAAAAAGCACTTGAATAGGATTTTATTTTAAAGTAAATAAAGTCAATGTACTAAATGAATCATTTTATGTTCAGAGTTTAAAAAAGATTTTTTTTTTTTACCTTTTGTTCATCTCTTTTATTTTTAGGTAAATAAGAACCTTCTAAAAACGATGTGCTTAAGCCTAATTTTTGAATAGCCTGCAAGAAGTAAAATGATAAGCGTAGTACAAGAGAATAATCTGTTTTTAATCTATTCGAAAAATTTCTTCTTTTTTATATGGAAGTTTGAAGAATCCCAAATAAGTCCTGGTTGCACCACTAGGAGTTCTGAATTCGAATTAGTGAAAGGAGAAACTTCATTTCTTGAGATGAAAATTGATTCTGTTTTTTACATCAATTTATGGAATCCATCAACGAGCGTCAGAAGGGGACATTTTACAATACTGATATCGGACGAAAATGGCTCAATCATTCACAGCAAGAATGTGCCAACCAATTATTTTATCGAGGCAGGAAACAAAGTTGATTTACTTAAAAGCTTATTCGACGTACCGCCATCTGTAAAATATCCAATAACCATCACCTGCATCTCTAAAGATTGGAATACAGATGAGAAGAGTGTTAGTTCAAAGGATTCAATTCTCTTGAATAATTTGCGTGAGCTTTCTCTAGATTTTAGGAAGGTTCTAGAACAAGCAATCTATTCGAACATCGTACTAAATGTGGATGGAGATAACATCAAAGCCCACAAAATTATATTGCAAGCTCGTTCCCCTGTCTTCCACAAGATGTTCACTCACGAAACAGCGGTCAATCCGATTGTTATCTCGGACATTGGGCCAGAAACAATGAAGAGACTTCTCAATTTTCTTTACACTGGTACAACCGACGAGTGCGGATTCGAAGAACTTTTGGAACTGTACTATGCCGCTGACAAATACGAAGTTATTTCTTTACGAGATAGTTGCAAAATGGAGTTATTGAACTTTCTTCAAGTGAACAATGCGTGTTACTTATTTGTCTTAGCTAACCGACACAGCGACGAAGTTTTCAAAAATGAAGTGGTGCAATTCATCAGTGCGAATTTTAAATCTGTGGTCGAAACAGAATCATTTGACGAACTGGGTAAAGACGATATGAAATTACTTATGCGTTTGTGTGCGGATGCTATGAATGAATGAACAGTTTGCCGATGCATTTGATTTTTAAATTAAGTATGTAATGATTGATTGGTTAAATTTCACAATGTTGTTAATTTTTCAGTTCTTGTTATTTAATTGTGAATAACACTAAAAGCTGATGAGTTAAACGAAGTTTGAATACATGCAACGTCTTCTTTGTATTTTGAGTAAATATTTTCAAATGCATCTTAGTTATATTTCACCATTTATTATTTTTTTTCGGTAAATCAACATATCATATACTGATAATGTTTCAGTATACCACTGAGACGATTTATTCACAAAGCTAAAACGTTTATTAATATTTCAAAAACTTTCATCGTATATTTGTTTCCCCCCCCCGTTCCGTATAATTTTAGAACCCTTAGACAGAAGTAGCTGCTATGTTTATGATACTTCACTCTCACTAACCTTTTATTATTGCCATTATCACAGCTGCCCATGGTCACCATGGGCAGATGAAGAAGAGAGGTGACCGCTTCGTGGACACGCACTTCGTAACAAGCATCAATTCAAGTTCTGTACAATCATTTTTCATTAAATCGTTCTAACGTCTAATCTCATGAAGGAAAACTATTCAATTTGATTGTTTGCGAATCAATTTGAACTAATCTTGTGTATATTTTTGTTTTGTCTTTATGTTCGAAGCGTCTTTTCTTTCCTCTCTTTTTCTTTTTCCATATTTGTCATTAACATTAAGCAACTAATTATTCTTTATCTTCTTTTTAATTACTTCGCGTGCAGGTCGTCGGGCTACCGAAGCGGAGGTGCCATCCCCTCTGCAGAGGATCAAAATTGTGATGGCATGTCTTCGGATCATCCTCAGGGATGTTTCCCAGACCGTCGCCAATAGCCCATTGTGCAGCTCTAGTGCGACGTAAATGAACAAATCAATCAATCAATCAATCTTATTTTTAATTAAATAATATAAGTTAGCAAATAGTCATTGATTACTGAGGTGGCCTCATTGGCCAGGTACTTGTTTGTAATATGTTCTAGTTTCCACAGTTTACTTACATTTACTTTCAATGGGAAACTGGAAAAAAAAATATGCTAGAACAAGTTACTAATTTTAATCACTTTCAATAAAATTTTGAATTTTATTAGTCACCACTTTTTCAATTTTTAGTCGCCCGTAGCAGCCCTGTACTATCAATCAGAACTATTTGTACATTAAATATCTGTGTTATAACTGACGAACTACGGACAGCTGAATATTCAAATTAGCGTTACATTACAGGAAGAAAAAAATTATAATAAAGGGTCATTATCAAAAGGAAATAAATAATAGAATTTATTCATTACAACACCTCGGTGCATTTTTACGAGGTATCTCAGATGCCATGGAACATTTTAGCTTCCTTATCGTTTGTTCTATTTTGCATCAGCTGTCACATGCAATCATGACGTCGTAGATGTTTACATTGAGTGTGTTTCATTCAAGGTTGTTTTGAAAATGCGTAATAACAGTAAATAACTTATTTTATTAAAACAACTATTCTTTTGTTTTATAAACGAAATTGTTTAATGCTTATTGAATTTAAAAATAACGTTACTGCAAAACTATTGCAGAAATTTCAGAGCAAAGTCAACTGTTAAATATTAATAATATTGTAATCGTATACTCGTCAACTTTTCAAGATTTAGCCGGAATTTTTCAGATTTGACGTTTGTTGTTAAATAAATAATTCTTGATTTTGATGATATCAAAACTTTATGATTATTTATATTTAAAGCCATAAGAGCAAGCATTAATGTTTTTAACACACTTCATGCGTAGAACTTATTCAAAAAAATGTATTACATTTGTGAGAGATTATAATTTAAAAAAAAGTGGTAAGCAAGATTTTATGAAAAAGCAATAAAATTGTCACTATAGTAACAACTTCAATTTAACGAAAAATTACGACGAACGATAGTAGCATTGATTGCGTTTATACTGAATTAATTATGTTTGTATATTTCTTTGAAAAACAGAGCGGAAACGAAGTTGTTTTGCTACCACTTTTTAAACTTTAGTAAGGATTCCAAAAATTTCAGAAACCTATTTTTATGTGACCCGTTCGCAATGTGTTAAGAGCTAGTGAATTTTTAAACGCATGTGTATTCTTTTGCGGTAACTTTACTACCAATAAAAGAAATAAAAGAAACTTTTGAGACAGGGACTAAGAAAGGATAAAAAACTCATCAAAAACAATGACGCGACAAAAAATAAGATAGAGTGAAAAGTTGATACATTTTTAATGATATGTTATATCAACTGAGTAATATTTTGAAAAATAAAATTATATTTTCTGAAAAGTATATGTGATATATTTGAAGAATAGAACCATACTGAAAATTTAAGCCGGCAATCGTTCTGAGAAAAAAAAAAACTTTAACCCTTTCAGGACGGGTGAATCATAAATGTATTCGTAACGAATCAGGATGGTAAAAAATAAAAAAGTGGTAGCTTAAGTTTTGGCATAGCTAATTTGGCAGATTTATTTTTTGCTTTCACTTTAAATCCAACACATCCAATCCATGTGTGTTAAAAGTGTAACTAAACAGTTTTTAATTCGAACTAAGGAGTGGTGAATTAAATAAAGCAAACTACCATTACCCCGCTCACAAATAAACTACTATAAAAATAGTTTGGCTACCAGTTTTATCCTTATTATCGCCGCCCTGAGAATGCATATATGACTCGCCCGTCTCGAAGAGGTTAAAGCACTAGGAAAATTACTACCTATTACCAACAAAAGATAATCAACACTTACAGTTCCAACGAAAATTGGTTTTCTAAGTTATTTATTCTTATTTTATTTTATAAGTTAATGTTAGTCTAGTTAGGCAGAGGCCGATGACCTTGTCAGATTAAAAATCGATTTTTTTTCACGCTGTATTAAATTGCACTAAATTCAGAAAAGTAAATAAAATAAACAGAATTATGTTTTTTCTTTTTTTTCTTCTTTTTTTTAAGGGAAAAAAAATGCTGTAAATGCTGCAATCGATTACACTGGGGAACAATTTTTTTTTTTTTTTTTTTTNTTTTTTTTTTTTTTTTTTTTTTTTTTTTTTTTTTTTTTTTTTTTTTTTTTTTGAAAGTACAAGTTTATAAGGAACGTATAGGTTTATATACATAACTATACACTTGCCTGCTGTTTTGAAAATAACACTTACGACGGGGAAAAAAATGACCTTCACGTATCGCCTCATAAACTGAAACGTATTATCGCCTTCTTCCTACCACGCCTTACGTAACCGAGAAGTGGAGACTCTTAGTATTCACTCGAGTGAATTTCAAAAAATTGAATTAGGAATATATTACTAAATTGCATAAAAAATGAAGCTTGCAGAGAGAAACCGATTGCAGATTTAAAATCAGCTAAACAAAAACATCTAAGAACCGTTTTATGAATATGGTATGGATCACAATTTCTCTGTTTTTAAAATTTTGTTTTGAGAAAAGAGAATAACCATATAAGTTACAGGAAGAATGGATGAATCACTAAATCAAATTACAAATAAATAATATTTTTCCCGGATGTGTATATTGTTTAACGTCAATTGACGATCATAATTTCATATTTTTAACAATTTCTCTGTTTTTAAAATTTTGTTTTGAAGAAAAAAAGAGAATAACCATATAAGTTAAAGGAAGAATGGATGAATCAATAAATCAAATTATAAATAAATAATATTTTTTCCGGATCAGTGAATTGCTTAACGTCAATAGACGATCATAATTTCATATTTTTTTAATAACTTAATTCAAAAGAATAGTCGCATCATAAAAAACAAATAATTTCCGAATCAGTGATTCGGTTCATTGACGAATCAGAGAATTGTGGAATATAATTATAAATGAAAAAATATTTTACAAATGTACAATTTGGGGTATGACAGTCCAGGATCACAATTTCTCATTTTTTAAAATTTTGATTGATAAAAGAGAATAACAATATGAGTTAGTATAAGAATTAATTATCGAATCATTAAGTTAAGTCGTTGAATAAAATTGTCAATAAATAAGAACTTTTACGATTTTGTAATTTGTTAAATGACAGACGTCGACCATAATTTCACATTTAAAAAAAAAAAAACTAAAATTCTGTTTTAAAAATAGTTTTATCAGTATTGGAGAATTGTCGAATCATTGAATCATGCAGAAAAACTTAAAACTTTTTAAGAGTCTGTAATTTTTAATTAGCATTCATAGCTGTCGATATCGATAATTTTTCAATATTTTTTAATTTTGTTTAAAAAGAAATAGAATAATATTATCAGTCAAAAGAAAAATCAGTAAATTATCGAATCAGTGAATCATATTATAGATAAATGAAAGGTTTTAGGAATATGGAATGATGGACATCAGACCACTTTAGTTTGAATTTCTTGATTACCTTCTTATCTTTTTCTTAAAAAAAACTATTAGAGCAATTATAAAAGGCCTAATATAAAATACAACTATAAAAAATATAACTGAAGGGACATTAATTAATTATGACGAATTAAGCATGTATCTACAATAACAAATAATTTACACTCTACAGAAAATGATAAAAAATAAATGTTCTTTTTTAAAAGAAACCAAGAATCAAAGATTAAATTTATACTTTTTATTCGCAGAAAAAAGAACTATCAATTATTGTAAATATATTCATTTTCGAAAAGAAAATTATTGCATTATTCATTTCAATTATCTATAATTGAATTCGGAAGGGATAACAAGGTTAAAAAAACTTGATAATTTGCACCTTGCATAAGGAAATCGCTTTGTTATTTACTATATTCGTAAACTAATTATTATTAACGATATGACTAACGTAGACTAATTATTATGACTATAATGCAGGAAACAAAGCATAATGTGTTGATCTACACTAATTTCGTTGATAACGTACTTCCTTCGATGACTCTCCTCTTGTTGATGGTGAAAGCCATGCTTAGTGTTACCATAGGTAGAAAGTTCTACTCTACGCCACCTGTAGCCTATTTCGATTGCCAATAATAATATTACCTTGCATACATCGATTATCGGGCCAATCCAAAGCAACTAACAAATTAAACGCGCTTCAGTATTGCAGCAAGAACGTGCCATAAGAGATCACTTTATTTACGCTTCTGTTTCCATATTTTGTAATCTGGCAATCTAATTACGAAAATATTTTAAATCATTCTTGAACGATTCCGGTACGCGTAAG